TTCTCCTCCTCCGGCAGGGCGGCGCGCAACACCACTGGTCCGTCCTCGAGCAGTAGTTCACCAGCCGTTGTTTGCCCGTGCAGCCCGTAGGGTCCGTCAGCCAGAAGCCACGGTACCAGCGGAGGCATTTCCGGTTGCTGCAAGGCCCTGGTTGAGGGGATGAGAGAGATAATAATAGAGAAGAGAGAAATAGAAAGGCGATAGCGAGTGATAAAAAAAATATAGAAACACTGAGAGAAAGATGAGAAACCGAACTTACAAGAATCAGTAAACCAAACAAAGACAAAGAAAGAAGGGAAAAGGCAAAACCGAGAGGCGGGACCGACTCACTGACTCTCAGGCCGACCTCGAAGCCGTCCAGCTCCAGCGTCCGAGCGAAGGCCTCCAGCCCCGAGGGATTGCAGCACACGGCGCCCCCGCCCCCTCCGCAGGCCGAGGCAGCCACCGAGGGCGACCGGCAGCTCCCGGCAGACACGCAGCTGCCTCCTTCCGCGCGGCACTGTTCCGAGGACACGCGGGATGCACCGGTTGCTCTCTGTGTGAGGCAGAGAGATAAGTATATATATATATATATATATATATATATATATATATATATATATATATATATATATGAAAACGGGGAGAGAAAGGAAGGAAGAGAGAGAGAGAGAGAATACAGACATTGAGAGAAGTGGGGGAGACAGAGAGAGAGACAGATAAAAGGCAGGAAAAACAATAGAAAATAAAGTCAGAGATAGAAAAAAACAAAATAGAAGGAGGACAGACCGAAAAAGAAAGAAAATCCGACCATGCATCATTCTCCCGTCATTGTCATCCCCCTCATTCAGATTTCTACCCATTTCCACCACTCAAGCCACCTCCAACCAAGGATTACCCCCCCCCCCCCCTCCAACTTACCTCTCTTCCTGCGACCAAAAGGACAGCAGCGAGAAGCGCAAAGGTCGATCCTGCGAATTTCCTCATTCTGTGAGAAAATAGAGAAAGCAATTGCAATAAATAGAGGGAATAAAGAGAAAAACGATGGTCGAAGTGAAGTGATCATTGCGATAAATAACGAGACAGCAATGGTAGAATAAGAGAGTGGATTATTGCTATAAATAGAGGAATTACGGAAAAAAACAGTGATAAAAAAAGTGATCATGACAATAGAGGAAACAATAATAATTAAAAAAATAGATAAGAGAAAGAGATACATTGCAAATTCAACTTTACGACATCTCAACGGATCAATCAACAGCAAATACGACAGAGAATTGCATATATACACACAAACACATATGTGTGTGTGTTTGTATGTATATACAAATACACATAGACGTAGGAGCCAGGGGGGCTGAATAAATGCTGGTTGAATTCGGGCTATTTTGGGCAATGGGCATAGAAATTGGAAATTATCCATTTTGCGGAAAATTCATAGAGGGGGCGAGAAATGAAGATATCCCGACAAAAATTTGACACTAATTCTTATTTGTGATCATTTTAAACATAACATAAGGCCACTAGAACTAAACGAAACAGAAAACCATCGTTATTTTTCCGACAAGTGCAGAAATTTTCCGACAAAATGGCAGTTTAGCCTTACAGGTGGGTTTTTCGCCCCCCTACTCCACCCCCTCTATCTACGCCACTGGTGGCATTCATCACAAATTTTCTGGCAGGTGAAATTTCTCTTCCTCTTTCACTCGGGCAGAAAATTTGCAGCCCCCCCTAAACATACACTATAACCCCGTTACAACGCGACCATTAGGGTCTAAGTGGCGCTAAATCGAGGTTCAAGATAACCAGCTTTTACATTTTTTTTATGATTCATTAAAACAAAAAAAACTTTTACCCTCTTCGCACGATCTTTAGAAAATGTTTTCCGTTTGGTAAGCAAATTACCTGCCATCCACAATTTTACGAATGGATCGTTTTGTTACACTAAGAATTAAAACATATTGTCTGTGTAAATATTTCCACTGTATGAATTGAATGAAGAATTAGTCATTTCAAAATATTTAGAAATGTCTAGCAAGATTTGAACAGCTACCATGGAATTCTTTGATCGGCATTCAAGCAATTGCCGCTACAATTAAGCAAAAACATCATTGGTTTTTGAAAATAAGGACTGTCAAAGCGTTTTCTTCGAAACTGAGTCTTTGACGAAACATATGCTTCCCATTTTTTATTTGAAGGAATATTTTTGAGCTAGATTTTGTATGGTCCTATAGATGGATGGATAGATCGATAAATAAATTGATAAATTAATAGATAAAAAGAGATAAATATATCTATCTATATCTATCTATCTATCTATACATATATACTCTCCCCCCCATCTCTCTCTATATATATATTTATATATATACATATATATATGTATATATATATATATATATATATATATATATATATATATATATATATATATATAGAGAGAGAGAGAGAGAGAGAGAGAGAGAGAGAGAGAGAGACAGACAGACACAGAATGTGAGATAAAGAAACCAAGAAGAAATAT